CCCCAACACTTCGGTGCTGTTAAATAAAGTATTTGAATACTTCTTCCACCACTGTATGTAATGCCGACTTTGAGTCCTGTCATCCTGTGCTCTGCTGTTGTGTTGCGTTGTTTCAGGCTGTGGAAGCTTCAGGGGAAGAGTTGCAGGGCCCTCTGGGACTGCGCGGGCCTGTAAAGGGGGGTCATTGTCTAACCATCGAAAGTAGAAAGTTGCTCTGAATGCTAAGCTGTATCTGAGCCTGGCTTCTGACACGAGCTGATAATCAGATTTACTCCCCTGAATCCGCCGGACTCCACAAAGCGCCCCACTGTCGTCGTCCCCCGCTTCGCCTCTCGCCGGCCCCCTCGCCAGCATCCCGACCCTTCATCCACCCTCCCTCCTCCCCCGCAGCAAAGCTAATTACACCCCGCAGAAACACAAATCTCCATGATTTAAAAAGTCACTCTTTTTCAGGGGTTTAACCTTGTTAGAGCCTAAGCCTGGCTTTCTTGTGCACCAGCTCTGTGAAGAATTCTCTGTTCCTGCAGACACTGGGACATAGACACACTTCTGTCTTTGCTCGTAGTCGTCCGCCTGTCAGAGGGTTCACTCGGAGGCAGTGTAATTAACTGTGTGTGTCCATGTGTGTCTGTATCGCTGCTTATGTATGCTGTGTGTATATGTGTGTGTGTGTTTAGAGGTGAGGGGGGGTGAAGGAGCACACGCAACTCTGTCCTCTGCAGGCCATCTGGGACTCTGACTAACTAATAGACTTCCTACATTCATCGAGCAGCGCTACTTGTACGTCTCAATCAGGGAGCTGTTGACCACAAACAGGCCCATAATGACATTAGCCGGTTCTGGCTGTGTGAGGACAGCGTGTGGGTTGCCTGACGCCAGGAGGTCAGCCTGTTTCCTGGGGGCCTGCAGGGCCCCCGAAGGAGCCCACATGAGTGTTATGGGTGTCAACAGAAACTACAGTATTACCTACTGTCTCTGATGGAAATGGCTTCCTCTGTGTCACACTTTCCAGTAACATTAAACCCGTTTTCCAGTAATGAGTAGTGCAGCAAAGTACTAATATTCATCCGAACGGTCATTTTAACTAATTGTACTTTTTACTGTAAATATTAGATTGTAGCTGACATGTCAACAAACAGTAAGCAACATCTCATTCAGCTTTAGTATTCAGCATTGTCATTGTCTTGAGAGATGCACAGATATATGAATTTGTGGATATCGTGGAAACAAATGTTTTTGAAATCGAGGAATTCAGACTATATACATTTAGATAGATGGTTTCCAAGTATCCCAAACTTATAAATTCAGTTGTATTAAGTCGGTCAGTAGCTTCTTTATGAAAATGTTTTGCCTTCATTTTTTACAGAAGCACACAAGCTAAAGGGAACTAATACCTGAATGTAATATCACTGTATTAAAGAATAATTCTGGTTTATTACAACTTATTTTTATAGTTTTGGCCATCATTTCTATCTGCTATGATTAACATTGTATTCACTAAAGTAATTGCTCTGAGATCTGGGAGCAACATCCGCAGCACTCGAAATGTCATTAATTAGCCCTAATTGCAGAGAAAAACTGTGTACACACAACCACAGTCGGTACAGAGTTTAACCTGGAAGTCTGTCTTTAAACTTGACAATTGACAGTTTTACTGTTTGTCTTTGTTTTTGTCTTGTGAATAAGTTTGGCCAATCTTGGTCTTTGTTCACAACCTGTGTTTCAGATTTCTTTTCGAGATCTTTTTTGTTAGAGAAAATGAGACCCAGGTTTGACAAAACCTTTCAGAAGCTGTTATGGAGCTTTCAATCATATCACACAGTCTTCATCAGCAGATGGAGTTTTCCATGTCGTCAAATTGTATATAGCATTTTAAAGCCCTAACCCTAACCCTCAGTCCAAGTTATAATAAACCTTAATTATCCTTTAATAAGAATAGTTTTCTGAGTATAGCATCACAATACTGTTCCATTAAGAGTCAGTAAATGATATTGAATCACGGCCCTTTCAGTACTTTCTACTGATCCAGATGTGTGAAGTAAAAGCAAGACAAGGCAAGTTTATTTGTATAGCAACTTTCAAAAACAAATTCAAAGCAAAAGTGCTTGACACATGGGAAGAAAAGAATTTAGATGACAGTTAAAACAGGTAAAACAATAGAATGAGAAAAAAAAGTGATAAAGAAGGACTCAGTTTTTTGAAAACGTCAGAAGACGAGTGAAGTTCTTTCCAGCTGCAGGTGTAAACAGCTCGTTCTAGCACAGAAAACCTGTCAGTGTGACCATGTGTGATAAGATCAGTGTGTTTAACTGACGCGCAGCTTTGTCCTGCACTGTATGCATGATTGTAATTGTGTGTATGGATGCATCAAAAGAGCTTTTGCGTGGGTTGTAATGACACAGACATGCGTTAAACATTCGTGCCCAGACTTGCTGTGCAGAAGGTTACGGGTCTGATGACACCAACCTGGAGTCTAGCCTCACAAAGCCCTCCTCAGCCGTTTGATGGGCCTGAGTGACAGGTAATGAGGAGGCCGTAGTGGAAGAAGAGGAGCGAGGAGGAGAAAGGACCCCATCACTGGCTCTTGTTCTGCTTTTTCTACCTCACTTCTCCCTCTTTACATCACAAGAATGCAAATCTTTAAAGCCTCCAGATCTGAGAAAAGGGAATCAGTTGAGATGGTGCAGGGATTTAAAAGCTGATCCTCCCTGTGTGAGTCACAGACAGTGACCCCACCTTCCTCCCCCTACTTTCTCCCCCTTTTCTGTCTGTCTGAAGGTCTCCTGGTTCATCGTTGTATTCAGACAGATGTTGTATCTGTGCATTTTCTGTTTGTTTTTATTGTGTGTTAAAAGGGTGAGGAGCTGAACTTTGTTTTACATGAAGCTTAAATCCAAGTCAAATAAAGCCCCGCGTCTGTGGGCCATTTATTACAATTGTTTGCTCTCTAAAGGCCACTGAATGAGTCATTGCAACCAAGGCTGTACGCTGGGCTGGGTTTCACTGGTTGGCATGCTGCAGGCAGCCGTCCGTCCCTCCACATATCCAATATTGACCGTCCTGCCTGCTTTTTATCTCCCATGTCCTGACAGTGTACTCTGAGGAGGTTTATCACCCTTGAGATAATTTTCCGCCTCCTTTCTTTTAAGCCGGAGGAAGGTTGTGGGTGTAAGAAGAGAAAACTGGAGTTACTTTTATGTGCTGAGGAAGAGGAGGAGGTGTGATCTGTTTAGTCAACACAAGGGGGCAGTGGTGGCACCGTGCATCCTTTGAATTCTCCACCAACAGTGCAGCAGGGATCCCCATTCAGGCTTTTATTTTGTAGTACAAAAATGTGACCCAGTTACTTATATTTTGTATTTTGATTGACACGTAGGGCAATATGTTCTCAAAAGCAAATGTCACCACAGAATGCAAAAAGGTTAAATTGGAGGATTACAAGAGTATGTACCATATTGTGAAAACATTAAATAACCTTATTTATATCTGTATATTAGTTCATATTATATATGATATATATTTATATTTGTTTGCCTTTATTTTTTGTTTAAATTTAAATGTATTGACTGCATAATCTTTTTTAATGTTATTTTTTCTTTTATTTATTTAAATTATTAATGTATTAATTGTTATTAATTATAATATTTATCAATAATTGAAGTTTTATGTTTTATTCAATATATTTTATTTTGTTTTATTTAAAAGGGTTAAGGACATTTTTGTATGGATACGTATTGAAAA